CTTCTTCTTCTTCATGGCGGCGATTGCAAGAAGGATGCGTAGCGAGGTGTGTCGGCTGACCGGAGCGAATGTTTCGGTGAAATCGCGTCCGTGCTCTTGGTCAAAGCCGTGTACAACCCAGCGTGCCTTAAATTTGTCGATGGTGCCGTCAGCCTTTGTCTTCACACGGAAGACCCACTTCCCGGTGAGCACTGTCTTGTTCCGTGCCACGCCGATAGGAACCACTTTCCACGTGTTGCGTTCCTCCAGTGCCTTTAGTTCCTTGTCCATGGCTTCGCGCCATTTTTCCTTATGTTCCCCCCCCAGAGCCTACTGAACCGTCGCAGGCTCTTTAGGAGTGGCGGAGCCGTGGACTGCGGTGACGAGCCTGAGAATCTGCAGTCCACTCTGTGAGTAGCAGGGAAGATTTACGTCCTCGGGATAAGCTGCTTCATCTCGCGCTTCTAGATCAGGTATGAAGTTCGGTCCTATTCGTTCTGCTTCGTTGGTGTTGACTGTCGCAGGTGTTACGTAACCGTTGTCGGCGAAATGGTAGAAGGTTTCGGCGTTGGCACTTTCGCGAGGGTTGTCTTCGTCCATGGGAACGTCGACGGAGAAGAACGGGAGATGTCCGGCTTCTTCTGATGCGTTGTCCACATTCTGCTCGTCCCAGTCAGCTTCGTCCGCTGCTGAGGCGAAGGCTCGGTCACCACGAAAACCACCTGTGGGATCTTCATCTTCTTGCAGGTTGGCAAGGTATGTCTGGAGCGTGAGTCGTTCGTAGAAAATTACGTCACGTGCTGCTACTGTTTCCTTGGAGTGGACATCGAAGATTTTCCACGCGTTGTAGTTCTTTTCGATTCCTAGGTGTAGTCCCCACTGTGCTCGTTGAGAAAATCGGCCCGCTCGTGCTGCTGGGGGTCGGTACTGTACCATGCATTCGAAAACTCGTAACATTTTTGTGCTGCCCTGTTTCCCTGTCCATAGCAGATGCGGTGATGCGTTGTTCGGAAGCGATGATGACGACAGCAAGTTGTGCAGCATGACAGCGTGGTCCATTGCTGCAGGCCACTGGTGGTTGGGTAGCCGCATGCCACGTAACAGTTTGCGCATGCTGTTCCGCAGGGTCCTGTTCATTCTTTCTGCTACACCTTGTTGCTGATGGGCGTAGGGAAGGGAGATGAGCTGCTTGATTCCCCTTTCCGCCAGGTACTGCTTGAATCGCTGAGAGGTGTATTCTCCTCCTCCGTGTGACTCGAAGCTTTTCAGTTGCATGCCCGATTCTCTCTTTGCTACTGGTAGCCAGGCAATGAAGGCTGCGAATGCCATGTCGCGGCTAGGGAGGTTTAGGTGCCAGACGTAACGGCTGGCGGCGTCGATGAAGGTGATCGTATAGTTGTATGTTACTTGTCCTGGTTCCCGATTGAACAGGATGTCGCTATACACCTTCTTGAGTGGTGCGTACGCGGGTGCGCTCGGGTTGTGATGAGGTGCAAACGGTCGATGTGGTAAGTCACCTTCAGGGCAGGTGAAGCACGTTCCGCGTACTTGTTGAAGTTCTCGTCCGTCGGTCAGTAGGAGTGAGTCCTTGTCGAGTACTCCTGCTCTTATCGTATTGTTTAATACTGTGTTGCTTGGGTATCCCATCCTTGCCTGCCAGGTGCTTTCGTCGGCGCGATGTCCGGGTGATCGTCGGTACATATCGGAGTTGGAGTAGAAGTTGGCGGTGAAGTTGGCGCTACGATGAACTTCTCGTGGTGCTAGGTGTAGTTGTTGCGCAGGTGTTGGTGGTGTGTCGTCGATGAGGAGCGGTGTCGTTGAAGGACCAGCGATTGGTGTTGACGTTCCTGCTGCTGCCGTTGATGGTTCTGCTGCTGCCGATGTTGTCTCTGCTGCTGCCGATGTTGTCTCTGCTACTGCCGACATTGTCTCTGCTGCTGCCGATGTTGTCTGAATTGTTGCTAACGCCCTTGTTCTTTCTGCTTCAGGGATGGTGTGTGAATACCAGAAGCCTTGTGGACTGAAGTCTGGATCAAGGTCTGGAGGGTGTGTCCAGTTGGTGAAGTTGACGATGGCGTTGCTGTCGGCGGTGCCAAGGTTAGGAACGAAATCAAGAACGAAGACGTTGTTCTTGAGGACCGCCTTGCCGATGTAGAGTCCTCCTCTCCCGTGGTACAGCTTGAATTCTTGGGTGGTGCTGTCTGCTTCGAGGTGAATCCCCTTCGCCATTAGCTGATTGACGCTCAGTAAGTTGTAGCCGAGTCCCTCCGCGATTAGTACTTTTGACATCTGCAGTATAACGTTTATTTCCCTTGACTGAAGTTGAGCTACGCCTTGTCGTCGTGTTCGCAGGTTCTGATTGTTGGCGATTGTAATGACAACTTCGCGTTGAAGTTGGTGTTCTCGTTGAACGAAGCGTCCCGAGGAGCACATGTGCTGTCTGCAGCAACTGTCCAAGAACCATGTGTCCCTTCCGGATGGTTCGCTTTGGGCGATGGCGGCGTATGTCGGGTTCGGCTGAAGTGACTCGCGGCGGGGTGTGGTTTCGTCGAGTTGTTCTTCCGGTGAGTAGTGTGGTGGTGACTCGGTGATACAGGAGTCTGTCAGCTTTGCCATGCAGCTGACGATGTTTCTTGCTCCTTGTGCAGGTTGTCCTGTTGAGATCGTTGAAGCTTGAATCTGAGTCGTGGGATTTACTTGCGTTGAGGCGATTTGGCTGCTTGAAGGTCGAAGTTGCCGTTGTGGGGTTGTTGACTGTTGACGATTCGGGTAGTGCGTACGCGGGTGTCCTGAAGTTTTGCAGATGTGGCAGAACGGAGGTACTGGCTTCGGTTGTTGCTGCCGGTTGTTGTTGTTGTTGTAGCGTCGCTGGGTGTGGAACGCGAATTCCGATGCTGGTGTCTTCTTTTTGTGTCGTTCTTCTTGCAGGTCCATGTCTTGCTGCTCGGCGTGGATTTCGGCGCAGAGCGCTGCTTCGGAGATTCTTCCGTGAGCTCGGAGGATGGCCTTTGTGGCGCGCCATGGAGGACCGAGGCCGCCGATGATGACTGTCACGAAGGCGTCTTCAGAAATCGACCCTCCGCATCGAAGAAGCTTGTCGCGCAACTCGCGACATCGACTGATATACGCCATTCCTTTCTCCCCTGGTTTCATTTCAACCATTGTCAGTTGCGCCATTAACCGACTTTGACTTACACTGTCTGTTGCTTGATACAGGCTCTTCAGGTGGTTGTACGCGAGCTCCGCAGAGTTGCCGTAACCTCGGTAAGTCTTTATGTTCTGCTGTTGAGTCGGGGTGATGTTCCTCAGTAGGATCGTATACGCCATCATAGACTTATAGGTGTATTGCTGCTTCTCGTACTGTGTGCCGTTTGTTGGGTATGGCAGAGACCCGTCGAAGAACCCGAGTATCTGCGCGCCTTCCATCATCAGCTCGAACTCAAACGACCAGGTGAAGAAGTCCTTTCCATCGAAGGGTCTTGACGTCTGCATCTTCAGAACGTGAGCGAACTGCGACTGAACTTGCAATGCGTCCAGTGGTTTTTCTTGTCCAGGTGAGGGTTGTGGGTGTGGCATGAAGCTGATGGACCCGCGTTCGTACGGAGCAAAGGTAGGCTGCTGTTGTTGATTTCCTCGTGCATATGATGAGCCGTCGAGACTCATGGGTGTTGCTCCGTTGTTGTTGCTGTTGTGTGACTGCGCAGGTGCTGATTGCTGGTGTTGCTCGTAGAAGGACATGAAGGAGAAAAACTTCTCCATCATGCTCCGGTCGAAGTCTGCAGGTTGATTCGCGGGAGTCTCGGTAGATGTTCCTCTGGGTCTTGCTGCCGTGCCCTCCTCTGTCTGTAGGCCAGAGGCAGGAGGTGGAGTAGGAGTAGTTCCCTGGGAGCCGTTGGAGTTGCTCCTTTCTTTTTGTGTAGCCATGCTGATTGATACTGTTGGTATAGAAGTTGAATTCCTCCTGATAGCTCTCATACCATGTTGGGCTGAAAAAGCCCTTAGGATCTTTGTAGGGGTGAACTCTGGGTAGAGTTGGTGTAGTAGCGGAAGCGTTAATAAGGAGCTGTGAACCACCTTGCGCTAGTATGTGAGGGCAAAGTAAGTTGATTAAAACAAGGAGATACAAGATTATTTATTAATACAGGGAATATGAAAAGACACAGTTATAACTACTTTACTGTTGCTGTTGCGGTTCGATACAGTGACGACTCGGGCAACTGCTCTGTAACGAGTCAGTTGTGTGTCCTTGCTGTCGCGCTGTACTTGTCAGGTCAAAGGTCACTGACCTTTGACTTTCGCGTAACCTCCAGCGGTTACTTCAACCTCCGAGGGTTGACTCGCTGGTTCCTCGATGTGCTTTGCTTCGCTTGTGCCTTAGTGTTTCGACACGACAGAGGCGCTTAGGACTGATTGTTTCGAACATGTATTACATGCTATATTACAAGAAGGATGCGAGTTTTGCGCAGTGAATGTGCTCCACAGTGGTAATCGCTATCCAACAGTCATCATGCACGGCAATCATGGCGCCCACAGCATATGATTAGCAGTCGCATGATTGCCTGGACACATGTGTAGCATCATAAAATGACGTGCGGAGGTATGGAGAGGCCAAGGAAGTGTGAATTGGCTGCCGTGACTGCCTTGCGGTGGCCAGCATACTCCCAATCGACAAGGACAGTGGGAGCAAGAGTGAGAGTGGATGAGCCCACAAGAGGGTGGGTAGGAGTGACGGCGAGATGACCTGGCTGGTCACAGGGAGATATCCGGCGGGAGGGAAGGTGCGAGGATGTGCAGATTGGCAGACATGACAGCCATGGCCAGAAACATGGCCAGCACGCCCTGCGATGGCTTTGCCCAAGAAACTGCAATGGCCCATGGGATGGCTTTCTATGGTGCTCTAGATAAAGCACTGCCATGCAACGGCGGCCCCTGGAAGCTTGGGGTAGAAAATGACCACGCAGAGATCAGTGGCTGGTCACAGGGGGTGTTCCAGGGTGGGCCACAAGGGGGTCTATAGCTGGTCACAGCGAAATGTCTGGCGGGAGAGAGAGTGCGAGGAGGTGCAGGTTGGCGGACATGACCGCCATGCCCAAGAACATGGCCTGCACTGCCCTGCGATGGCCCGCGTACTCAAAGGCGAGAGGCAGCATCTCGTGCAGCACTAGGAACGCCATGATGCCACCCACTGCATGCACAGGGATGCAGAGACATGTACAAAGATCCGACAGAGGAGGTCTTAGCACGGTGTGAACAGCACTGGCAGCACAAGGAGAGGCATCTCATGCAACCAGAGGACCACCGTGATGTCGCCCACTGCATGCACAGAGATGCAGAGGAATGCAGAGCGGTGCAGAGAAATGGAGTGGGATGGGGAGGGATGGAGCGGACGCACAAGCCAGCACAGTCATTGCGAGCAGAGTGAAAGAGGCAGCACAAGCACCATGCCAGCACAGACAGCACAACTGGGAAAACCAGCACTGCAAAAGAGAGCAGAGACGTACCACCGGCAAGCAGCCCTTCGATAATATCCGGGGCGAGGGAGGCCGGGAAGAAGAGGGCCACAAAGACGACCCCCAGGGGCTCCGCAGCCCCCGATAGAGCCGCGGCTCGGAAGGCCACCCAACCGCTTCCCAAAAAGGGGAGAAGAGAAGAACACGTACCGCCAGCAAGAAGTCCCTTAATGAGGTCCGGGGCGAGTGAGGCGGGGAAGAAGAGAGCCACAAAGACCACCCCCAGGGGCTCCGCAGCCCCTGAAAGAGCCTCGGCTCGGAAGGCCGCCCAGAGGCTGCCCGAAAAGGGGAGGAGAGAGAGCAGAGCACATACCGCCAGCAAGCAGCCCTTCAATAATATCCGGGGCGAGCGAGGCCGGGAAGAAGAGAGCCACGAAGATGACCCCCAGGGGCTCTGCAGCCCCCGAAAGAGCCGCGGCTCGGAAGGCGGCCCAGCGGCTGCGCGTGCCGAAGTAGATAGGGAGGGCGACTGCTAGGCCCTCTGGGATGTTGTGTAGCGCGATGGCCACTGCCAGGCTGATTCCCACCCGCAGACCCTGAGAGGAGGAGGAAGAGGAGGGGAGATGGGAAGCAAAGGGGGAACGTGTTAAGTAGATGGGGAGGGCGACTGCGAGGCCCTCTGGGATGTTGTGTAAAGCGATTGCTACTGCCAGGCTGATGCCCACTCTTAGGCCCTGAGAGGAGGAGGAGCGGGGTGAGGGGAAGCAAAGGGGGAATGTGTTCAAGCAGATGGGGAGGGCGACGGCGCGGCCCTCTGGGATGTTGTGTAGCGCTGTGGCCACCGCTAGGCTGATTCCACTCGCAGGCCGTGAAGGGAGGAGAGGGGGGAGGATAAGGAGGGAAACAGGTGGGCATCGAAAACGAGGTAAGAAGTGAAGGGCCTGAAAAGGGTGGAAGGATGAGGGAGAAGAAAGGGTACTACAGAAGCCAGACCACCAGTATCTCCTATCCGATCCAATTCTCCCCCTGACCTCACAGAATCCCCCTAACACTAGTACCTCCAGTATCCCCCGTACCCCTTTCCACTCCTCCCCACCTTCATGGACCCCAGGAACACGGCGATGCCCTCAGGGAAATTATACAGGCTGATTCCAAGAGCCTTGATCACCCCACTCCACAGCACTGCCCCCCACCTTCATACACCAGTCACAACACCTCTCCACTCCTCCTCACCTTCATGGAGCCAAGAAACACAGCGATGCCTTCTGGGAAGTTGTGCAGGCTGATTCCCAAGGCTGTGATCACTCCACTCCACAGCACTGCTTGCCGCCGCCTCTGCATCTCCCGCTCCCCCACCTCCCTTTCCGCAACCCCCCCATCTCGCTCCTCCCTCCCTGCCAACCCCCTCTCTCGCTGCTCCCTCTCCCCCCTACTCCACACTCCCTTTCCCTGCTCCATATTCTCTCCACGAGGTATTTGAAAGCTATCAAATATCATCTTCTCCCTATTCCCATCCCTTGCTCCTCTTGCAACCGTCCCACCCTTTAATCTCCGTCTATCCCCCCCCTCCCCTTCCACCCCTCTCCCTCCGCCCTCACCCACGTGAGCACCATCAGTATTCCCACTCCCCACACCATCACGGCTATCCCACTCGCTGCTTTTGATCCCACTAAGCCAACGCTCCACACGACTGTCTCTCTCGCTGTCCGAGCCTGAGCCTCGGACCAGGTTCGGGTGCTCCGCCGAGCCAGCTCTTGGCAAACCTGAGGCTCGGTTCGGGTCCGAATCGGGGCTTTCCGAGCCTAAGGCTTGGGTGAGATCTAGGGACGAGAGGGAGGAAGGGAGGTAGAAGGAAGAGGAGGAGGAGGCGGAGGGGGAATTAAGTCGAGCGAGTGTTTGTTTTCGGATAAGAAGAGGTGGTGAGTCTGGTGGTGGTGGTGTCACTGTTGGTGTCAGTGCTGCTGCTGCTGGTGCTGGTGGTACTGCTGCTGCTGTTGCTCCTGCTGGTGCTGTTGCAGCTGGTGCTACAGCTGATGGTTGAATAGGTTGATCTGTCCGTTGCCTCTCCATGAATGGTTCGGACGTAGGTTGGGATGCAGGCTCGGGCGTAGATTCGGATACGGGGTCGGATGAGTATTGCAATAGAGGTTCGGACGATGGTCCGGGAGCTACAGAAGGCTCGGGCGCGAGGGAAGGCTCGGGAACAAAGTGTACAACCGTTGCAAATAGAAGCGCTCCTGCAAAGAACTGAGAGGCACCACGAGTAAGTGTGGGACAGAGGGGAAGATATCAGGAAAGAGAGGGGAGAGAGGGAGAATGAAGAGGAGAGAGCATGGGGGACAAGAGGGAAGAGAAAGAGGAGAGTGTATGGGAAGGGAGAGATTGCCAGGCGAGCATCACAGGAAAAGAGAATGGCAAAGAAGCTGCAGCGAAGGAGCCTTACCTCCACCCACACGCCCCAGTTTTTGGACCAGCAAGCAGAGGACGTACCCATAGGTTGGCAGCAGGAAAGCCGATGGCGTCAATGGCTTCTGGCACGAGATCGAAGAAGGTGAGGCTCAGCATGAGCCCGCTGGCAAAGCCCTGCATCGACAGACGGACGGAGGGGGTGGGTGGGTTTATGGTTGGGGGGAGATGGAGGGGAAGGGAAGGGAATGCGGAACGGCTTTGCACGAGACCAAAGAAGGTGAGGCTCAGCATGAGCCCGGCAGCAAAGGCCTGAGCCGATGGAGAATGAGGGGGAGAGGGGAAGAGGGGGAAGGGGCGAGAAAACGGGATACTGAAATCACCATAAGGGGTACGGGCACGAAGTGAAAGAGCATGAGAATCCGCATGGGGTGAAGAGCGAGGTGAGGTGAGGTGAGGTGGGGTGGGGTAAGGTGGGGTGAGGTGAGGTGAGGTGGGGTGAGGAGCGGTGAGGTGGGGTGAGGTGGGGTGAGGTGAGGTGAGGTGAGGTGAGGTAAGGTAAGGTACGGTGAGGTGGGGTGCAGAAGGGTAGGCTGCAGGGTACCTGCAGGAGCCCAAGGCGCTTGATATCGGGTACGGCTTGCAGCACCACAAGAGCACCGCCTGGTGGGAAGAGGTGGGAGGGGGTGGGACGGGGTGGGAGGGGGTGGAGGGGGTGGGAGGTGTGAGGAGGTGACAGGAGGTGAGAGGAGGTGACAGGAGGTGAGAGGAGGTGGGAGGAGGTGAGAGGAGGTGGGAGGTGAGAAGAGGATATGGCAGGAGATTGAAGGAGATGGGTGGGCAGAGGATTCAAGGATGGGGGTTTCCGCAGGGGAACTCCCAATCTCGTGCGAACAATCTCGTTATGAACAATTCCCGTCCTCAACTCCCAAGGAGATTGGTCGTGCAAGCGATGCCAAATCGAGGCGACAGCTTGGTGGTGTTTTGAGGCGCCTCAAAATACACATCAAAGCTTGGTGGTGCCTCGACTGAAGAGTTTACAATGTTACGGAGGGTGAGAGAACCCAACGACTCACCAAGAGCCGTGCTCAGGCTGCCCACGAGAGTGAGAGCGAGGGCGATGCCGACTTGAGGCGACAGCCCGATGCCAAACCCCATGGACGGAAGGCCTGCCAGCACAGACGTAATGGACGCCATAACCGATTCTGCTGCTGCTGTTGCTGCTGTTGTTGTGTGTGGGGTTGCGGCTGCCAAAGTGTCAGCTGCTGCTGCTGCGGCTCCAGTCACGGCTGCACCAACTGTGTCTGCAGCCGTGTGTCCCACTTGTAACGCGCCCAGTTGTAACGCGCCCAATTGGGATGCCTCCGGTTGAATCGCTGCCAGCGCTGCCGCTGGAGTTGCTGCCGCTGCTGTGAGCGCCGCCGATGCCGCAAGCAGCAGTGTTCCCCCTGCTGACGTCGCACGAGCAGATGCTGCTGCTGCTGCTGCTGCTGCTACTACTACTGTTTGAGGCGGTGGTGCTGGTGGTGGTGGCGGTGCTGGTGGTGGTGGCGGTGCTGGCGGCCCTCTTTCTGACCGTGCTGCCTTCACGGACTTCGAAACTACTTGCTTGCCGGAATGCTCTCTTGAGTTTCTCAAATGGGTCGTAGACAGCGAGGACGTGAATTTGACGAGCGGATCCAAACGGCAGACCGGCTGAATGAGACCCGATTGACGGCTAGACGTCACGCCAGGCCGGCACACCTGCGGACGAAGGAGTTGGCGGGAAACAAACGCTGCTGGTAAATCTCCTGGGAAACAAGTGCGGGAAACAGTGTCTTGGTAATTGGTACCGTGCTACGTGTTTTGAGCCGACTCAAAACACGACTCATTACACACACGGAGCCACTACCGTGCTACCAGGTACTACAGAAAAGAAATCGCGCAGGGGGGAAAGCTCAATCACGCACAGCAGTCCCGTTTGGGAGTTCTCCGTTCGTGCTCGAGGGTACCACCTCGGAGCGCAGTGCGATGCTCACGCACACGCAACCGCAGTGGAGAAGTCAGTCACTTGTTAAATGGTTTTTGCTCACTCTCGAATTCAAAAAACGATTGCTTGAATCTCTGGTTGCGGAGCTCACTCACACACAGCAGCAGCAATAGCGCGACTTCAGATACTTCTTCACGGCAACCGCCGTGAGACCATCGTTCGCGCTCATCAAGCTGCGGCGTTTCCGCTAACGATGCTGTTCAAGAAAATACTGAAATGGCTCTGCCTAATTCACGACCACAATCAAGACGATATGAAGGTTGAATGCAAACTCGACGAGCCGCCAGTAGAGAAATGAGTCGCCTTGATGTTTCTGCCCCCAAAATTGAACGCAATCTATCGAGTACGCAGCGACGCTTAGCGAATAACTACGTTTTAGAGTTATGTAACGGCTCAGCGACGCTTGTCGACGAATAGGCAAGTACCTGATTTCGAGAACGAAGCGTAGATTGGCAGCTGGAGCAAACACGTGTCAATTCGTGACAGGAGTGGCCGCTGAAGCAGCTTCGGGCCATGGACGACCGGAGAAGCAGGAGTAATTGACAGGAAGGGTCATTCGGCCATGGCTCTAACGATTTTTTTTGTGATTCGCAAATCAAGCTGAGAAACGGTCAGTGACCAACAAGGTAAGTCGTCCAGCTGTTTCTGGAATTTGCCTGCAGAATCGGTTCTCAACGGAGTCAAGAAGATGCGATAAAAAAATCGACGCGATGTCCGACGACTCGCCGGCACACCGAGTTCGTTTCCTCCCTCTGAGAATTGGCAATGTGGACGGCGAAAATAAACAGCACCGCGGAATTCTACAACGATGACGATTACTACGGCGGCGCGGAAATAGTAGGGACTGCGGAACCAGCACCGACAGGACTCAAGAGAATCACCCAAAGAAGACCAGATAATCAACGAGGGGTTTCAGGAAATGGAGTCGTGCATACTCCAGTCGTCGACAGGCGGCGTGAAATGCGATGTCTCAGGAGAAGGACTGCTTACAGCCTTCAGCTATTTACAAGCTGCTCGTCGTCCACTCACCACCACCACCCCTCTCCCCCCATGGAGCATCCCTTCCCATTATCTTCCCAAACGCGTTCCATGTGGTGTCACGTCATCTGATTGTAAACCTCTTCCTGCTAGATTTAACCTACTGAACCGCTCTGTCCCGTTCTGCATTCTTCACTTGAGCGCATTCTTCAATTGAGCGGATTCTTCACTGCCCCATTCGACTGTTCGAGGTGCGCAACCCTCACTCTCGTTTCCGCCTCTCCTCGCCCTCCTCCCCCTGACCCTCGCGCCTCTTGTTCATTCCTCCCGTAATCTTCCCCTCTTCCCCCCTCCCCCACACTCTCGCCCTTTCCCTCCCCGCCCCGCAAACCAGCCCACACGAGCAGCATGCCCAGTGGTCTGATGCCAGCCACAGCCCGCAACATCCAATCCCAAGGTGCTCCGTGATTGCTCTCCGCCAATCACAAGGTCCCGTTCAACCCGCGCGGTTCTCGAACATGTGATGAAGAATTCGTGGCGCGACGAATGCGGAAAAGAATCCGAATCGCATGGCTCGGAATCATGAGGAGTGGACTTGGCGAAATTACGCTACGCGCCGGCGTATGAGCTTTTCTTCATCCCGTCAACTAGCCTCGCACCGCAGATAGGGCGACCAAACCCCTCGCAAACGAATTGATCTACACGATTTTACGTGATATTGTCACTGTCTCACGCGAGAAAATGTTTGCCAGGTGGTGTTCGTGTTTTCGTAAAAAACAAGGTCGCAATTGTGGCTACATTGCCATGACCTTACAAGATTCGGTTATTTTGTCTTTTTGCGAAGGCGCAAAAATGCTTCGTGTGCGTGTCAGGTTTTTTGTCTACATGTTTTTTTTTTTTTTGCGCGTGTCAAACGCGATTTTCTGAAACATATACGGAGCTCTGAATCTAAGCAGGGGCAGAAAAAAAACCCTAGAGGCAGGAACGCAATTTGGGAGGCATCAACCCTAAACACGGAAGCATGGTGTTTAGGGTTAATGCTTTTGAATGTGGTGGAATTCGGGAGGGATCAACCCTAAACACGGGAACTTTCAAGGTGTTTAGGGCTGATGCATTGAAAGTGTGCCTGGCTCCCTACGGAATTTAGTTCGTTTTACACCGTAAAAAAAACCAGACCAAACAAAAACAGCATAGGACAAGCCTTGTCTGCGCGACCAGACTGAAGTGACGTAACACGTCGCAAAATTTGTCTTTGCTGAAAGGATCGAAACCCAAACTGCAATCCCGTAATTCTGGCCGTAAAACCAAATGGCACCTGTAACGTCGACATGGCCTCGTTCGCAGCATGTAAATAACGTGGAAGCGCATGTAGGTCGACCCATTTGGACGAGGCTCGGTCGCCCTACCTGCGGTGCGAGTTTGGTCGATGAGATTAAGAGAAGTTCGCGCGCTGGCGCGTCGCGCAATTTCGCCGGTGGACTTGGATGAACGAGTGCTGAAACCTGCGTTACAGGCTTACTCCCTGACTTGAAAACCGAACTCTATTTACTGGTGCAATACGAGAAAAATATAATATAGTTATCTATTGCCTAGCATCCATTTCATCATGCGCCCACTTCTCAACCACCCCTCTTGGTGTCCAATCGTCCTCTTTAGTCGCCAACTCATTTGCCAATAAAGCTCCTAACAACGCAGCCCTCAGTGCCTCGTCCCTATGCCGACCCACCATCGACCACACATGCCGAACCTGACGACCCTCCGGACCAGTGAGCTCCAGGTACGGCACGACCACCAGGTGCTTTGCAAAGAGTGGTGCAATGCGGTTGAGGCGGTTTTGCTCCCACGTGGCTTCCTGTAAATGGCGGTTAGAAGGTTCCTCGTTATATCAAGTGTCCAAAAACTGAGGGCAGGGGAAACAGTAAAAAAATGGGGGGTGAGGGGAGGGGGAGGGGGTAGTGAAAGGGAAAGGAAGATAAAGGGAGAATATGTGAAGAGAAATGTGGCAAGGAAAACTATGGATTCATATTGCCAGGTAGCAAGGTGAGAAACAACACTCATTGGGTAGGGTAAGAGCACCAGAGAGTTCTTTTCTGCAAGGGGAGGCAACGAAACGGCATGCATGCTATGCAATCAGGTACGTGACAGGAACACCTGAAAAGGACCCTGACAGGCACCTGATGAGAGAAGCATACCTGGAGAGAGCGAGGAGGGGGTCGCTCTGGCGACATCATCTCCCCACCCACGTGTTTGAAGCAGTGTTTTGAGGCGTCTCACAACACTACTTCAAACACGCGATCAATCCTAGAGAAGCACTGTACAGAGTGGAATGGGTTGGTGTATGTTTTGCTCCTAAGAAACAATACTGGGCACCAGTCGATCACCTTGAAAGTGAGGGGCGAGCGTCTCAGCAGCATAACCCCCGCATTGATTGACTCCAACGATGCTTTGAACAGAGCACCCGGGGAGCATCACTGGGGAGCCTTGAACAACTAGATGAGCATACCAGAGAGTGGGCGGGGCACTCACCTTGAAGGTAAGGGGCGAGCGTCTCAGCAGCATAACCCCCGCATTGATTGACTCTAAGGAGGCATTGAACAGAGCAGCCGAGGCGCCATTCTCCTCCCCTGAATTCCGGGCGAACAGACCAATCAGCTCCTCCGAGGGCTCCTCTGCACATAGGGCAGCGGGTGATTGGCTGCAGGCTGCCACGTCAGCAGGAGGAGGATCCAGCAGGCCAATGGGGAACTGCGGCATCCACGTCTGATTGGTGAGCTCCATGCCGTAGCGATCCCTTATCCAGTTGAATGCTCCCTGGTGGGGTGCAGGTGGCAGTTGCGGGGAGATGGGAGGGAAAAAGGGAAACAGGTAGGGTAGAGAATCAGGCAAAGAGGCGGGTAGAGAATCAGGCAGAGATAGAGAATCAGGCAGAGGAGCAGGCAGAGAAACCGGCAGTAAAACGGGCAGAAAAGCAGGCAACAAAGAGGGCAGAGAAGATGGCAGAGAAGATGGCAGAGAAGATGGCAGAAAAGATGGCAGAGAAGATGGCAGAAAAGATGGCAGAGAAATCAGGGACGAGGAAGGCAGCCTCTGGGTTGAGATACCGACCGTGAAGGGCAAGGCAGCGAGCCAGGCTTCAATGGGGCAGGCGGTGGTTCTCCATTCGGAAGTAGGCGTCCGAGTCGAGATAGAAGGCCCAGGCACAGCAGCATGAGAGTCGGTGAGCATTGACGCTGCCAGGGGGATGGGCAGGGTACTGACCGTGAAAGGCAGTCCTGCGAGCCAGGCTTCAATTGGAAGGCGGTGGTTGTCCATTCGGAAATAGGCGTCTGAGTCGAGATAGAAGGCCCAGGCACAGCAGCAGCGCAGCTGATCCCGAATGAACAGCAGCTGGAAGGCGAGGGGGGGGAAAGAAGGGTAAGGAGGAGGGAGGAACGGGAGGCAGAAAGAGGCAACGCTGGTGAGAGGCAAGTGGCACGAGCGTGAGGTTTGAGAAATAGGCGTTGACCCACTCACTCGTGAGGCAACAGCGCAGAGAAATAGGGTCAACGCCTATTTCTCAAACCCTGTGAGTCACGAGTGTGAGGTTTGAGAAATAGACGTTGACCCTGGCAAAGCAGCAACGCACTTGTTCCTGGAAGAACAGCAACTGAGAGCTTGTGGTTTCACGAGAGGAAAGGGGGCAAAGAGCAGGAAGGAAAGGGGGCGTTGGTGGTTTCACGAGTCGGCTATATTTGAGTCACTTTTGAGCAAAGAGGGGCTAGGTTGAGCGGCGTGGATCGAAACGAGCGACCTAAAAAACAGCCGTGTTTTGAGTCGACTGGAAACATGCATTGAAGAGTAGCGTTTAACGCAAACATGCATTGAAGAGTAGCGTTTAACGCAAACATGCATTGAAGAGTAGCGTTTAACGCAAACATGCATTGAAGAGTAGTGTTTAACGCAAACATGCATTGAAGAGTAGCGTTTAACGCAAACATGCATTGAAGAGTAGTGTTTAACGCAAACATGCATTGAAGAGTAGTGTTTAACGCAAACATGCATTGAAGAGTAGTGTTTAACGCAAACATGCATTGAAGAGTAGTGTTTAACGCAAACATGCATAGGCTCTTCTCTGTACCTTCATGACAGAGAAACAGGCACTCATGCAGAGAAGAGTGATGCAAAGATGAATAAGAGCGAACGCTCAGATACGAAAGAAAAACATCCACCTGCTGCTGCATGCACTCACACAGACAGACCATGGGCCGCAATGGGTAGCGAGTCTCGTGGTGACTTTTGAGTCTCGGGGTGACTTTTGAGTCTCGGGGTGACTTTTGAGTCTCGGGGTGACTTTTGAGTCTCGTGGTGACTTTTGAGTCTCGGGGTGACTTTTGAGTCTCGTGGTGACTTTTGAGTCTCGGGGTGACTTTTGAGTCTCGTGGTGACTTTTGAGTCTCGGGGTGACTTTTGAGTCTCGGGGTGACTTTTGAGTCTCGGGGTGACTTTTGAGTCTCGGGGTGACTTTTGAGTCTCGTGGTGACTTCTGAGTCTCGGGGTGACTTTTGAGTCTCGGGGTGACTTTTGAGTCTCGGGGTGACTTTTGAGTCTCGGGGTGACTTTTGAGTCTCGGGGTGACTTTTGAGTCTCGTGGTGACTTTTGAGTCTCGGGGTGACTTTTGAGTCTCGTGGTGACTTTTGAGTCTCGGGGTGACTTTTGAGTCTCGGGGTGACTTTTGAGTCTCGGGGTGACTTTTGAGTCTCGGGGTGACTTTTGAGTCTCGTGGTGACTTCTGAGTCTCGGGGTGACTTTTGAGTCTCGGGGTGACTTTTGAGTCTCGGGGTGACTTTTGAGTCTCGGGGTGACTTTTGAGTCTCGGGGTGACTTTTGAGTCTCGGGGTGACTTTTGAGTCTCGGGGTGACTTTTGAGTCTCGGGGTGACTTTTGAGTCTCGGGGTGACTTTTGAGTCTCGTGGTGACTTTTGAGTCTCGTGGTGACTTTTGAGTCTCGGGGTGACTTTTGAGTCTCGGGGTGACTTTTGAGTCTCGGGGTGACTTTTGAGTCTCGTGGTGACTTTTGAGTCTCGGGGTGACTTTTGAGTCTCGTGGTGACTTTTGAGTCTCGGGGTGACTTTTGAGTCTCGTGGTGACTTTTGAGTCTCGGGGTGACTTTTGAGTCTCGTGGTGACTTTTGAGTCTCGGGGTGACTTTTGAGTCTCGGGGTGACTTTTGAGTCTCGTGGTGACTTTTGAGTCTCGTGGTGACTTTTGAGTCTCGGGGTGACTTTTGAGTCTCGGGGTGACTTTTGAGTCTCGGGGTGACTTTTGAGTCTCGGGGTGACTTTTGAGTCTCGTGGTGACTTTTGAGTCTCGTGGTGACTTTTGAGTCTCGGGGTGACTTTTGAGTCTCGGGGTGACTTTTGAGTCTCGGGGTGACTTTTGAGTCTCGTGGTGACTTTTGAGTCCACTCAAAAGTCACCTCACACACACCTTGAGCCACGATGGGTGGCGAGTGTCGTTGTATTCCCGTGTGTCCTGATTCACATAGCGGTAGCCATGACGGTTGGCATACAGCCTGGCAGCCATTGAACGGGGCGAAGAGAGGAAGATTGTTGAGACGCCTTTTAGGCCGTCTTAAACAGCTTGTGTGAATTGATTCACATAGAGTAGCCATGACGGCTGGCGTATAGCCTAGCAGCCATAGAAGGAGGGAGAAGGGAGCACGGGGGAAAGAGAGAGAGAGCGAGGAAGGGGTAAGAAGAGGGAGGAAGGGGGCGGGAGAAAGAGGAGGGACGTGCGGTTGGTGGGAGTGTGGTACACATCGGCGCATGGGGAGGGGTTGGAGAGAGGGGGACTCGCCGACTGATGGCCTTGGGAGGCCATTCAGAACTTTTGAGAATTCTCAAAAGGGAGGCGATTCAGAACGGCATGGTGGACTCGTTCCTTTCAAATGAGACATACTGGATGGGCGCTGGGTGTCTCTAAAAAAAATGGCTAAACCAATTGAAAACACATATCATAACCCCCCCCCAACCTCCTCCCTCCCCCTTCCCCCAACCTCCTCCCCCTTCCTGCAATCTCCTCCCCCTCTCCCCCAACCCTCTGAGAGAAAAGAAGCAAAACTGACTGGTTGATAGCCTTGGAGGCCATCCAGAAGGGCAGGGAGCGGTCGTTCCTCTCAAAGTAGTCGTAGCCTGCCGCCTCCACATAGTCCCTCGCCTGCCGGCTGTCGCTCTGCAGTATGCACCCAGGAAGATGCGACCTCCTGTCACCATTGACGTTCCCCACCACAGCACCAGCAGCACTATCCTTGCCACCAGCATGCCTGCCTTTGCCCCTGCCGCTGTCGCTCAACCTGCTGTCACTGTCACTGCTGCTGCTGCTGCTGCTGCTGCTTTTGCTGGCACTGCTGCCACCAGTGCTGCTGGTACCACCTGCATCTGAATGGCAGTCAGGCGAGAGTAAGCCAGGGTGTGGCTCTGCGATTCAAAGGTGTCAGAAAGAAAACGGAAGGAACATGCGAGACAGCCTTTGAGATGCCCCTAAAATAGCCAGGGTGGAGTTATAGTTTGGTTGGGTCATGGCGAAAGGCGAGAGAGAGTTTAGGATATTCTTTCTAGAATGTGCAGTGGACAGGCGGGCCTGCAATGGGAAAAGAATGGTCATTAAAGGGAGTCAACAGAGTAGCAAATGGTGCGTTAAAGAGGAAACCACGGAGAAAGAGAAAGGCAGTTACGATGCACAATTGTAAAAAAAATGTGGGAAAATGTGCTTGCTACATCGCATATTCATTCATCTGTGATGTGACGCATCCACGCACACGCAAGTGACTTTCTATGACGCATGCCATACCATACCATACCATACCATACCATATATTAATCGCTCCACCCTTTCAACAGCTGCTGAAACATGTGAAGCCCGAGCGTCCAGACGTGCTTTCAACAAGGACACTTCCTCCTGCATGCATACAGGTTGGAGAACAAGGGCGCAGAGGGGTACAGAACGGTTCAATGCATGACCAGTGGTTGGATTGATTATACACGCTGCTGCGCATGAGAGTGGGTTGCTGCGCATGCTAGTGGGTTGCTGCGCATGAGAGTGAGCTGCTGCGCATGCTTAAGGCCTGAGAGTGAGTCATAAGAACTCAAAAGTCTGCGTGCATGTGCTAATGCTGCAATGCAGTTGCCTTCATGGAAACTGCCAGGAGCTAGTGTTGCAGTACAATGGGGTACAATGAGGGACAAGTCACCAGACTGAGTGCAGAAGGAAACCATTGGAGAGATTAAAGAGATAGTAATCACACTGTTCTGATGTCACATGGGAAAAGAAGGAAGAACTGGAATGCGGGGAATCTGTAGCGTGGTAATGGGAGTAGGACATAGAGTGACAGGACGTACGGTTTTGGGATATGAAGTCGTGAGTCAGGCACCGTCAAGAGAAACGAGGGAAAATGTGAAATTCGAGCATAACCGCTTTTAGAATTTTCAAGCAAAAAATTACCGCCAGTTGGGAGCGGCGCCGATGCAGCAAGGGAAGGCAAACGGCCAACGCAGCGACGCTTAGAACGGTGAGCGTGAGCGATCGCCATGAAAGCGAGGGCGAGGTGGTGACGGAGGAGGCGGAAGCGGTGGAGCTGGAGAGGGAGGAAAACGAAAGCGAAGGAAGGGAGGAGGAGCGCGATGGGAGGGGTGAGGAGGACGGGGAGGAGGACGACGAGGGCTTAGGAGGCATCCAGGAAACCAGGGCCCCTCGAGGACCTCCGAGATCGCAGTTTCGGGATTCAATGGACGCGTGATCGCGAGATTGCGAGTGCGCGTTTGTTTCCTACGTAACGCATTGACGCATTGCACTTCACGCTGTGAGGGGTTGGTGATGGATGGGAGCCATGGTTGGGTTGATTGGTAGGTACTGGTAGTTCTAGTCTAGAATCGATAAGGGTATGTCAGATCCTTCAAAACCTGTTTTGGCTGGTTATTTGTCGACCATTTGGTCGTCAAATTGTTTTCGCGAACGTCGACGCATTGGTCGAATTTTGGTCGACAAATTACGGCTGTGTTTGCAAATCTGACACGTTTAGTGGCTGATTTGCTGGCCGCTATCAGATGTGTCAGATTTGTTGGCCGGTGTTACGGGTGCAATGAATCGAAGTAGCGAGAATTGCACTAGGGTGTCAAACGAGTACAAAATGTGAGCGAAGGCATGAGCGAACATTTATACGCGAAACATGCAAAACGGTAACGCGGTGCGTGCGAGCTTGCTAGTGCTACGCTGGAGCGAGGCTCGGGCTAGTCCCGAAGCGTAGGCCGATACGGCCATGCCAGCAGTGCGAGGTT